TCTTCATCTTGCCTTCCAGCAACTCAACGCCATCATTGCAGCCTCTGCCTCTGTCAAGTCCTCACAGAAGCTGAAGCAGATGTTGGAGGTGGGGAGAGGTTGCGGAGGCAGGCACCCGTGGTCCTGGGCCTGGGTGGAGGAAGGAGCCTGCAGGGCCTGGCCTGACCTCCTCCCGTGCATCTTTTGGACAGATCATACTTGCACTGGGGAACTATATGAACAGCAGCAAGCGAGGAGCTGTGTACGGCTTCAAGCTCCAGAGCCTGGATCTGGTAAGACAGTGGGGGCGACCCGGGGCCGGAAAGCCTGAGGAGCCATGGAGTTCGGCTCTCTCTCACCACCCCATGCCCCACCCCGCCAGCTGCTGGACACCAAGTCCACCGACAGGAAGATGACACTGCTGCATTTCATTGCCTTGACGGTAAAGGAGAAATACCCAGACCTGGCCAACTTCTGGCATGAGCTACATTTCGTGGAGAAGGCCGCGGCAGGTGAGGGAGCCTGGCCGAGGGAGCCTGGCCTGGCGAGCCTGCCCTCGTGTGTAGCCCAGGACAATCCCAGGAAGCTTGGGAGAGGGAACACTTGGGTCCCTTGGCTTCTGGCTTTTGTTATCTCCTTTCTGGCCACTTCAAAGCTTTCCGCTGGGGCCATGGGTAGGGGCTACCCCAGGGGGAGCCTTCCTGCCGGCGCCTGCCTAGCCCAGCCCTTCCCACCGGGGTGCCATGGGAGCAGGCAGTGAGCACCAGTGGCTCTTCACTCCCAACTCCCTGGGTGGCCCTGGAGATTCTGTGTCTCTGTGATGCATGTGAAGGGCCTAGAAAAACCATGAAGCCCCCACAGACATAAGGCAGCTGACATTTCTGCCCCAGGCCTGAGGCAGCTCCATTTTGGAGCCCAGCAGTCTCTCTGGCTTGCCTTCCTGTGCCGCCTTGCACTTTGGGGTCATGAGCTCACAGCCCGCATTCCTTTTCCTTACCTCTGTGAGGGCCCCGTTAGCGTGTGTCCTCTGTGTCCACCGATGGCTCAGGAAACAGGGGCATGAGACCCTGAGGGAGCCCCTGCTGCGGGGGAGGGCCAAGTTCTGTGTGGCCCCGGGCCGGGAGGGGGGCATGTCAGTCACTGAGCAGACCTCAGCCGAGGATCTGGTGACCACAGTGTCCCTGGAGAACGTGCTGCTAGACGTGAAGGAGCTGGGCCGGGGCATGGAGCTGATTCGGCGGGAATGCGGCATACATGACAACAGCGTCCTTCGGAACTTTCTCAGCACCAATGAAGGCAAACTGGACAAGCTGCAGCGCGATGCCAAGACGGCTGAGGTGGGCAAAGGGTGGAGGCAGCTGGGGACAGCCAGGGCCAAGGCACTGTGTCCCTCTAGATGGGCTTTGTTCTGGTTCTTGGACCAAAGGACTTTAAGATTTATTTAAAGCAAGCACATGCAGGGAGGAGGGGCAGAGGGAGAGGGGGAGAGAGAGTCTTAAGTAGACCCTGAGATCATGACCCTGAGATCACGACCCTGACATCATGATCAGAGCTTAACTGACTGTGCCACCCAGGCACCCCTGGACTGAAGAACCTTTACCGCATGGTTGGCTGGCTGTATGTGGGGGAGAGGGGGCTTTGGGGATGGCCAGCAGCCGCCTCTGGGGACATACTGTAAGGAGCGTTGGGAGCCCCAGGTTCTTTTCCATCGCACAGGGGCTGGGGGCTGCTGGTTTTCCTCCTTTGGCCCCAAGCCCTGTTTTCTGTGGGCCTCCTGTCCCTGCTGGAGAGCCAGGCTTGTCCTTCTCTGCCAGACTGAGCCCTTCTGTCCACCCCTTCCCCAGGAGGCCTATAATGCAGTTGTGCGCTACTTCGGCGAGAGTCCCAAGACCACACCCCCTTCTGTATTCTTCCCAGTATTTGTCCGATTCATTCGTTCTTACAAGGTGAGCGGAAGAGAGGCTTTTAAAAAGGAGTCTGGCTGAGAGAAAACTGGCAGGGAGAGGGAGGGCTGGGCTCCAAGTCTGGGCCTTTTCTGTCTCCTCCTCGGAGGCCTGGGAGGGAGCAATGGAAGCTGGCCACAGGCCTCTCAGCTGTGAACTGGTGGGCAGGGTGGGGGCCCAGGCCCTTCCTGTCATTGTTCAGGGCAGGAAGTGCCCCTCCAGAGGGTGGCCACCTGGGGTTGCTGGTCCCACTACCACCCATTCTCCACCCTCGGTGTCAGCCCCTCCCCTCACAGCCTGTGTGAGCCTCACTGCCC